AATAAAACTTATTTACTCAATGATGTGTGATGTATATGTTTTTTATTAAGAAACCAACAGTATTTTTAAAAATTAAGAGAAGTTTCAATTAAGTCTTGGAAAAGTTAGTATGTGATGAGAGGTACTTGCGACATTTTTGAGAGTCTACACTTTTGACAGGTCTGTGACGTCACAGTGAAATGTATATAGGAGGTAACCTGTGACGTATTGGAGAGGTCACATTCTTTGGTGGGAACCATTTATTTGCATTTTCATACATTAACCTACCAAAAGTATTCTAATATAACTTAAAATGTGAAAACTATTTTCAAGAATTCCTGGTATCCAACCTGTTCTGAGGCTACCAAATATAAATGTGTAAATCTTAATATATACCCATCTATAAAATGCAGGAGGTAATTCATTTATTCACCTATAGTATCTATGGTCTAACTACAATCCAAAATCCAGTCACTAGAAATCAGCATCCATGTGAGGGTAGGAAAGATCATACTGTCTTCTCTTCAGACCTGAGGGAGATATCATACCCACTGATCTGTGAACATGGCAAATGATAGCAAAGTGATAAAATATTTTAATGATCCGGGAACCCGATATATGGTTCATCGGAAGAAGAAAGATATCCCTGTAATGTGAAATATCACATTCAAAACCAATCAGACAGGAACCACACCCAGCACAGAAACATCCTCGATATATAAAAATCTTCAAGGGATAGCATAAGAGGAAGAACCATCGTAACCTGCAAGTTCCTCCACCATGACCCACAACACAGTAGCAGTGAACATGAGCCCAATTATTGAGGGAAGAGCGACACCTATAATACATGTGTGGGGACATATATTGATTGGTCCAGCTCTGAATCCAAAACATAGTCCTGGGAACTAACATAAATGTAGGATAGGATGAGGGATCTCAATTGAAGGGATGAACTGCAATTTTGATGGCTCACTTCAAAGTGACAACATCCCCTCAGATAAATCCCGTTCAGAGATGGAACAACAGACTGGAGGACATCTCAACATCTACACCAGCAGAACACTAATTCCCTACTCTCAATTGAATTGATTCAGTATTGTTAGAATTGTAAATATCAATCACATTCAGGAGGATGTTCTCCATGGCCA